CAGAGAGCCTGATTTCAAGAGTTTTGATGGAACCATTTTATACAGCACTTCCGATCGGAAATTCTTTCAGCTATTCAAATCTTTTTTCAGATTTGTTCTAGCTGTTATCGTCAATGAGAAAAATCAAAAATAAAGGTGGTGAACAATTTTGGATCCACTGTAGGCTTAAGCGGCGCAGTATTTAAAAGCCCCAAATCGCTGCCAAGATTAAGTCTCCTATTAACACATATTGTAGAGCGTTTCGGGGCGCATCGAATTATGTATGAATGAGTAGAAATCCTCTTTAGTTTGATAGAAAAAAGTGAAACAAAAGTTCCCTTGGCATAGCCACGACCTATGGAAAAGTCTAGTATTAAACTCATAAAACTTGGTGCCAGGCTTCGTTAAGGTTCCTATTAACTCATCTTATAGAGCGTTTCAAGACGCATCGAATGGTTTATGAATGATTAGAGATCACCTTTAGTTTCATAGAGAAAAGTGCCCGGCAGTTCGAGTAGCATAGCGGCGATATACGGAAAAATCTAGTATTTGATTCATAATGGCCGCTGTCAGGCTTCGTTAAAGTTCCTGTTGACACACCTCGTAGAGCTTTTCAAGACGCATCAAATGGTGTCTGCATTATTAGGGATCACCTACGAAGTGAGAGATGAAAAACGTAGCCGTTCCGATTGTTGGCGAATATTTCGTTTGCCAGCAAAAATAATCGGTCCGAGTAAATTTGAAGTAATTGAGAAGTTTGCATCTTATAAAAGTTGTTTTCAAACGTACGCATATTCAGCGACAACAAGCACATTCTCGAATCATAACTGTCCTATGAAGCCCGTTAAAAGTCAACGAAAACTTCATACAGTTTCAACGCCACTATCTCATTTACAGTCACTATTATCCTTGTCACCATCGTTAAATAAATTAGTTGAGAAGCAAAAACATTTAATGACCACAGCTTTGGCTGATTGGATCTGTTCAAATACTAGACCATTAAGTATAGTAGAAAACATCGGGTTACAAAACATCATAAATTACAGTGTTCAAACAGGTAAGACTGTTTTACACTACGTTACTGAATAACTCTGTGCTTTTAAAAATGAAATTTTCGTTCGTTTCTTAGGATATTTGTGTGGTCCAGTGTTAGCTACATCGGTATTACCATGTCGAAAAACCGTTTCAAAAGAAATCAAACAAACAGCAGCCACACAGTGGCTTGAAATAAAAGAGATTTTGATTGGTGCCGCGAGTGGGAGACGATTAGCTCTATCACCTGATATATGGTCTGACGGATATAAGAAAGTCTCATATTTGCGATGCACAGCACATTGGATAGACCACAACTGGCAGTTGAATTCTTTTGAAATCTTTTGTTTACCTTTCAGATGACCGAATAAATGAACTGCTAATGTACTCATGGTATGCTGAGGAAGTGTAATGTACTGTGGAAAACTCATATGCACAAAAGATTTCTGGTTTTTATATCTTAGGTTACCAAGGAAGGTCTGTCTTTATATGATCTGCAGTCATTTGTTTATGATATAATATCGGTGTGTGACCGTGGAAGTAACCTAGTTAAAGCATTAGAAAATTATAATATCGTTTATTATTTTGTACATCGTTTGTATTACAGACAACATTTCACCAAGTTGAAACAAATAAAGCTAAAAAGAAAGCAACGTTATCTCTTGATCCTGTGTCATCCGATGAAAACGAAGAAATGAGTGAAGATAATGATGACCAAATGGAGGAAGAGCATGATATTCGATTAGATTTAACTCAGAATACGATACAAGCAATAAGAAATTGTGTCGCATCGACGTCAAAACAAAACTATTCGCCTGGTACATTAGTTCAGTTACCAGCCGAAGCAAAACGTGTTTTGTTAACAATTATGAACTGTAAAGAATTAGTTAAATACGTTAAAAAGGTATGTGGCTCAAAATATAGCTAATTAAGGAGAAAATTTGTGATTCTGAAGGATGTTTTGATTACCACTATGAGTACATCGTCCGGAATATTAATCTCTGCGAATAAATATGAACTCATGTCTTTTATAGATTAATCTGAACCAAGATCTTGAAGCTCGGGATACAGTTGCTTTATTGCAAAGTACAATAGTTCGTTGGTTATCATTATCAAATTGCCTTGAAAGCGTATCAAAGTCATTTAAAGTACTTAGTGCTATATTTGATGAACGACACTTAGATAAAAAACGTTTGGAAAGAATAACAATATCAATATTAGAAAAAGTTATTGAATTTTTAAAATCATGGAAACATATAATGACAAAAATACAATCATCATCGATTCTATCTATTCATACATTTACGCCGCGTATCGACGTGCTAAACAGCGCACTTGAAGATTCACCAAACAACACTAAACCACTAGAAAAAGGTAAAAGAAACTTGTTAGAGTAGAAATTATTCCTTGTCTCTCTATTTTCCTTGTAAGAATACCTTTGAGTTTAAAATTTGATTATGATGATATAATTTATCATATCATAAAAAGATATCAAACAAATACTAATCCACTGCAGATTGAAATATTCAATTTCAAAATAACCAAAATGAACCGAATGGCTACTCCAATTTCGACGGTTTCGAAGAAAACATCGAATTCCTGAGGGGGGAGCCCTTAAGCCATTTTTAGCTAATGGTTTTTCAAAATCTGTGATGATTTTGTCTCTAAAATGAAAAATCGATCCATATCGGTAGTTCGAGTAAGTGAAGTATTCATAATACAGATTAAAAGTACGTGGATCCCTAAATTTATACCAAATTTATATTGAAATTTAATCAATCACAATTTCACCCCGAAAGTTTGCAGTTACTGGAAATTGTGCTTACAGCTACTGACAAAAAGTCCTCCGCAAACCATAAAAATCCTCGTATACAAACTTTATACTTCAAACTTCCTTTTCCTTCGGAAAACGGACAAATTCTAGGAAGTTATCACAAAAGTAGAAAGGTACGCAGCATTACTAGTCGAATGATAAATGATTACATTCAAGATTCATTGGCAAAAAAAATTAGTGAATTATTAGGTTGAGGAAAAAGTTCGTGCGCCGTGTTAAAATAATGATTTTTTATATTTTTTTTTTGTGTTTTTGATCTGGTTTTGTGGCTATTATGAAAATTTATTGATTTT